CATTAAAGGAAAAAAGCTTTAAAAACATTTCGATTCTGCAATTTTTTTTCTTATCGTAATGTTCAGTACCGGCTTTGGTTTCCCGCCCCAAATGGCGCAGTTTGCTATTTCTTTTTTGGGCGGAAAAATCACGTTTGGAACCTTTATATCCCGGACAGTAGTCCGTAAAAGGGGGAAAAATTTCCGGTGTACGTGGGATGAACTATGAAGAAAAAGGCTCGTTTTGAGGGGGCCCAAAAAAAAGCCCCGGTTCAATAAATTTCTCGATTATCATCAAAAGGAACTTCACTTTTCAATTTTTTTTCACGTTGCGACACACCCCCTTCTTTGTTCTACTTATTTTGGGCATTTTATAATCATTTATTTACTGTTCCGTTTTAGGGTCCCTGTGAATGATAGTTAAAGGTTCAAAAAAATTCCGAAAACATTTATTTTCTGTAAACTTTTTTTTAAAAGGGCGGCCACAAAAGGGGTTGCATTAGCCGAAATTCGAAAAATGATTTGCCCACCCCCGGGGTGTGGCAACCCCCCAGGAGGGGATTGCCGGGGGGAAACTTTATCTATGTGAAGATGATGGGGGGTTGGGAGCGGCAAGTGGAAGAAGGGGAATTAGTGAATGCCCGAATGCCAAAAGGTGTTAAACCAGTCTGCCCCTTAACCAGTGTAATGAGAATAAAAAGCACGGAATATACATTAGGTATTTCCGGGTTGGTTTTCCGGGGTTCTTGGGCACAAAAAACCCGGTGCTTTTTCGAGTTTTCGGGGAAGTTGACAATAGTAGTTTAAGTAATTTGTTGGTTTTTTAATGTTTGTGGGAGGGAGGTAATAACTATCCTGAAGTATTGCCCTCGCAGTTGGCAATGTGGGGAATACCTTACTCGGGAATTTAAGGGGTTTTTAATTTTTGATGGGAAAAAAAAATGGGGCCGGGGGAAAAAATATGGCGGAATTTTCCAAAAAACCCCCAAGCTCAAATGTTTTAAAAAAATTAGACTTTTAACCTTAATGAGGGGGTTTCGTTCATCTTCGTTTTAGCGGTCGTGTTGTTTTGGAAAGGAAAATTTTGGGGTTTTTCCCCCTGGAATGGGGGAGGGGGTCGGTGTTACGGGTTTTTTTTTATAGGGGAAAAGCAATCTAAGGTTTGGACTTCTGGGACCCTTTTCCGGCCAAACCTTGTTAACCCAAAAACCCCCAGTCAAGGTTCGGTGAAAAAGGTAGGGTTAAAAAGCGTTAAGGGGGGAAAAAGTCAAAAAATTGGGGGGCAAAAATATGTAGTTGGGTTACCAATTTGACTTTGTCCCCTTAAGCGCTTTTTAACTCCCTTCACCCAACCTTTGGGGCGGGTTTGTTAACAAGTTTGGCCGGGTAGAGGGTCCGCCAAAATGTCCCATTACCCTTTGTTTGCTGTTCCATTATACGATTAGTTAACCTTATCGGGAAAACTTATAGCGGGTTAAAATTTAAGGGGGGGTGATTAAAACCCCATTTACACTCGCTGTCACGTGATTTTTTTCAAACCCGTTCTCTAGCTGGTTCTAAAAAAACTTTTTCAAACCCCTAAAAACCCTCTAATTGACCCCCAACCCAAAACCCTAACCCAATCCTTAACAAAAACATTGCTGAAAAAACCTAACCCTAACGATAAATTAGATTTCCCCTTCCTTATACGGTTTTTTCCCACGGGGGATCGAGACATTTTTTTTTCGCCATTTTTTCTTTCGGTGGCTTTTTTTAAAACCCTTTGGGCAGGGGGGGGGTGATTCGGAATCAGCGTTCCAAATCCCCAAATCGTTTTAAAAGTTGGTTAAAAACCGTGGGGGGGGGCCCTTTTTAGAACAATCTCTGTAGAGTGATTTACCCCACCGTCCGTATTTAAGATGGGAAAAATTAATGACCGGGAAAAAATATGGCGGAAATTTTTTTCCAAACCCACCAAATTTTTTCCAGTCACAATTTCCCGGGTAAGGGTAAAATTGATTTTGTTTCGATAAATCTTTGGGCATAGCTGATCATCAAAAATGGCGGTCTATATAATTTTTTAAAATTTAATTAGACATTATTGAAAAGAAAGGGGGAAACCTTTTGTTCGGGGAGGTGACGGAAAACCCCAATGGACGTCTGCATGACAGTATGGCAGTGACAAACAATGCAGTCAGGGGGGTTTATCCATTTTTTCTGCCAATGTTTTGAAATTAATGGTTTTTACAAAACAGGCAAAAAAAAAACCAATGGTGGGGGTTTTTTTCCCTGTGGGATAGGTTTTTTGTAGATTTTGACCCCGTTTTGTTGTTTATTTTTTTCTTTAATAAGTTTAATAAAAAAATTGTGATTTTTTATCAAGGGGTTTGTGTTGAATCCTTTCTTTGGCTCTAAAATTTTTAAAACCTTTAGCTTAAAGTTATGTTGGGGGCGAGGGAAATATCATAACAGTTTGGGTTTTAAAAATTCGGACAAACTATTGCTCACCCCTCGGGGTTTTTTTTTTTTTTTTTTTTTAATTTTAAAAAAATGTTTTTTTATCAGCCCCCACCCCGGTTTTTCCCTTTTAAAGTAATTATTTAAAGTAATTTTCCTCCACATTTTTCGTGGACGGTGAACATGACGAGTGGGGTTGTAGGGGGGTTTTTGGCAAATTTTTAAAAAACCCGGTTTTGGGTTTTTAAAAACCCCCGAAAAAAACCCGGGGTGCCAAAGGGGCATTGTGATGATGTTTACATAACATTATTTCCTCTTCCTTTTTTTCCTTCCGTTTTTTTCTTATTTTACAGTTTTAGTTGCCCTTTTTTTTTCACAGGTTAATAGGAAAAAATTATTTTTATGGTGGGGGGTTTTATTTTGGTATTGGGGTTCATTCCCCTTCCTTTTCCTTATTCTTTATCTTTTTTTTTTGTATGTTTAATGAGATCTCATGCGGTCGATGGGGGTTTAAAAAAGAAGTAGGTCCGGTGCTTTTATCTGATCGTGACAAAACCGTCAAATCAAAAAACCCTGTCTACAAAAATTTTCCGTTGGGAGGAAAAAAGTTTATATTGTATGCAAAAGAATTTATGTGAAGGGCTAGGCTTAATTTTACTAATTAAGCCCTTTTTTGAGTTTTTTTAAAATGATAATCAAACTTGTACTTCATGTAATTCATTTCGTTGTTTTTTATTCTGTAAGGGAGTTTGTGTCGACGTTGGAATTTTTTTCGATGTTAAAAATTTCAGCCCAAATTTTTTCTCGGTTTTGTAGGGGCCTGGGGCTCATTGTCACCATCCCCACCATTGGCGACCATGTGTCACGATAGCAACCCTTCTGCTTCAAAACCCCTGAAAAAACCCCCTAATTTTTTATAATACCGAATGGTCCGTTTTCCCAAAAAGAGTAAATTTTTTAAAGGAGTTTTATTATAATATAATTTGTAAAAAACCCCCAAAAGGGGGGTTTTATTTTAGGGGGCACTGCAAAACCCCCGTGTCATTTTGTTTTTTTAACCTTAAAAAGTTTTGTATTCGCAATAAAAAAAAAAAAAACAACCGAAGTTCTTTCTACTGCGTTCTTTTTTAAAATGGCGGTTTAAAGCCCTAATTTTTATTGGCCGAAATGGCATCATCGTAGTTGATTGAAAACCACCTGCTTAACAACTTAAAGTCCACATGGGGAAAATGAAAAAAAGTTGGGCGCTGGGCTGCCCTCCATAATAATATGTAGTTAAAACCCTAGGCCACGAGCGCCCGTGAGGGCCCCCCCTGTCCTAGATTTAGACCCTTTATAAATCCTCTAATTTAATTCAGTAACAAATGTAAGGGTCGGCACCTGCCACTCTGACGAAATTCACATTCTCATTAAATATTTTCCTGTCTTTCTTCGTCATTTTTTATACTTCAAGTTAATGATCATGATCTTCTTTCCACTAGATTCGGTCGTTGACTTTTCAGTTCCACTGATAGTAATTAACAATATTTCTGTAATTGTAATGTTGTGTTCGCAGTTCGTATCTGATCTCTGCACTTTGGCTGTGTTTTTTTCTTTCTTCCAATTCTATGATATGATTCCTATATTACATTAAATTAACATTTACAATGTGACAACTATTTAAAAAGTGCGATGTTGGGAGCACTTGTCTCAGCTTGTTGGTTTCCTGCAACTCCTCACTCACATATGGATTGGTACGAAGATAGAGAAAAGCGCCAGGTATTTTTACAAATTAGTGTTCGGATCCAGTTTTCAAAAAGAAAATCTTGCGTACACTGTACACTGTACGAGGCCGCCCACGTGCAAATTAGCTAAAAAGCAAAAGGTTGCAAAGTAATTTTGGTAACGAGGGTTGTTACACGCACGTGCACGTGCAAAGATTGTTAAAACGGCAATTTTTATCGGTTTTGTTGATATTACGTTGTGTTTCAGTTTAGTGCGAGCAATATTTTAATCGGCTGTATCTTCAGTTGTGTAGGATATTTTTTGACTCGATTTAAACTTACTAACAAAAAATACTATTAGCTTCCTCCCTGTGACAACGGGTTTTCTAGTCTTACTTATAATTCAGAGAATTCTTTTTGTTTGTACAATGTACGTTTGTACGACCGCCCACGTGCAAATTAGGTAAAAAAAGCAAAAGGTTGCAAAGTAACCATGCTAACGAGGGTTGTTACACGCACGTGCACGTGCAAAGATTGTTAAAACGGCGTTTTTATCGGTTTTGTTGATATTACGTTGTGTTTAGTGCGAGCAACATTTTAATCGGCTGTATCTTTGGTTGTGTACGATATTTTTTGACGCGATTTAAACTTATAATTAACAAAAAATACTATTAGCTTCCTCCCTGTGACCACGGGTTTTCTTGTTTTTTAATAAAATAATTAATTTTTATCCAGTTCAACTGAGTATAAAAACTTTAATTTAGAATTCCAATTTATCAGCGCATTTGCATTTAAAATGTAATATTGACTGTGATCATATTTGCAATTGCAGGACCAACAGACTGCACCGGTGATCAGAACCTTACTTTTTTGCGGAGTAACGTTTCACTGCAAGTGCATCTGGAAAATGCCTACTTTTATGGCGGCAAGGAATGACTGCGGAGTTGTTCTTCAGGGTAAGTTACCCGGTAACACGACATCTGATATCTGTCCGACAGCACTAATTTCTTGTGTTTGAAGTGATATCTTAAATTTGGCACATAGTAATTCACCCAAACTTGCACAAATTATTTGTCTTAAAGCTATCTTACTATTTAGAAAGTTTCAAGAAAATCGTATCGTTGGATCTCCAGATATATGCCTCGGAACCACTGCAAACCACCGAATAGGAGATATTTTGTGTGTTTAATGTAATATCTCAAATTTGGCACATAGACACTCGCTCAAACTTACACAGATTATCCGTCCTATAACCATCATACTTTATGGAAAGTTTCAAGAAAATCGTACGGTAGGATCTGATATAAACTATTGTCCGAATAACCTATTTTCTGAGTCGGACAGATGTCGCTGTCGGACAAATGTCGACCAATCGTTGTTCAGCCGTCTGATGGCAATGAAATAAGATAAACTGATTACTAATCCTAACATATGCTATTGCCACTAGTACCGGTTTTCTAGGAGCCTTTTTACGGACAATACCCGTAAATATTTATTTCAACGAGACCCAGTTCGTATAAACCTACAAGAAAAGTTTTACTTTAACTAACGAGCTTATTGCATTAAATCTCATTAGACGATCCGGATAAAAAAGAGGTACATCCAATTCTGTTCCCGCCTAGAAGGAGTAACTCATTTAATTTGATAAATTCGGTGGAAGAGAACGGTGAGGATGATTTATGGGATGAGATTGCTGAGGACGAAAACGAAAGAGATGAAATGGAGGATGATGAAGAAGAAGAAGGCTTACGACCCGGTAATAGCTGTTTTTGAAAGCCAATAATCATAATTCATAACTGCATAATCAATCATAGATACGATAGTATCACAATTATTCTTACGGGGAATTAAATAGTTTCACCGTCGGGACCCTCATAAATATTCGTATCCATTTAATTACATTCATTTAAATTACTTAATGATTTAACATTCCAGAAAACCCAGATACCGAAGGGTGCGGTGTATTTCGAGATATAACTCGAAATAACGACACATTTGGAATGGAATCTGTGAGGCCAGCTACAATAAAGAACAGAACTTTCTACCTGCCAGGAAACATGAAGACCATCTTGGAGATTGTTCATCAGAAAAGTAGGCTGTAATTTATCATCTCCTGAACATACAACATGTATATAACCAATAAGATATGCCCTAGGAGTTGAAATATATGTATTACTTCGGTCCACTTACTTCGGTCCACTTTCCCAATACTGATCACAATTTCCAGCATCTAACTCTAAGAAGCATATTGAAACCCAAATTTTTTCAGCTGGAGGGAAATGCCGCATCAAACAAAGATCAAGAAAAAACAAGCCGAAGAAATGCAAGAAAAAGAACCTAAAAGAATTTAAAAACTTCAGCATAGCAGAGTATGAGGCGCAGGGGGGTTTTCACTATGTGTTTAGAGTAGGAGTTGGTATAAGAGGCATGAAGGAGGCGGCAAAAGACGCTGTTAATCAAGCCTACATAGATAAATACGAACTACCAGTACCTTGCTTCCTCGCTCCAAAGGTAAAATAAATATGTACCATGTCGACGAAAACCGGGCTTTAAATTTTCCAATTAAAAATTTAAAAAACCTTTTGGGGGCGATCTTTTGGGATAAAAAATCCCAAATTTTGGGTTCGCAAATGAAACTTTTTTTTTAAAAAAGGCAATGTATTTTTTTCAGAAGAAAAATTGGAAATTTTTTGGGCCCCTTTTTAGTGAAATGCCGAGCAAATTTTGGGCCCAATAAAGCCCGGGTTTGGGGAAAGGGACGGGAGAGTAAAAACCGAAAATTTAAGGATTATAAACTATTTATAAAAGGGGAAAAATTAAGCCCTTTTTAATTTTAAAATTTTGGGGATATTCAAAACTTTTTTTACTTATATCATGGAAAATTTTTTTTTGCTTTCCCCCAAAAAATTGGGGTTGTTTCGAAAAATTCTTTCTGATAAGACTTCAAAAATTAAATTGCTAAAGCTGATCAAAATTGACTTCTTACTGAAGTTCTTCGGGCTACTTTTCTTCCCTCACTTCTCAATTCTCATGCTAGTTTTCCAGCAGAGGTGTTCACCAGAATGTGACATTTTTGCCAACATTTTTATGAGAATTAATAGGAACTTCTGTATTACTTTGGCCCTTTATTTTTCCCCCGGCCCCTATGTTTTTTGTCTAAACCCAAACTGGAATTTTCTGAGGGGGATAAAGGATGTTTTTGTATGTGTAAGGAAATAGTCCTAAAAGCGGGTCCCAAAGGGCCCTAAGATTAATTTTTTACGAACTCAGCTCATCGTCGGGTGGGTGCCCAAAGCCTGAGAAAATCTGATGTTGAAAAATTTTATCAGATCGGAAAGCGATATGGTCTTTTTTTTCCCTTTTTTTAAACCTCTTTCAGTGTCACGCATTTAAATTTTGAAAAGGATTTTTAATGAGGCGCTGTTTCCCGATTTTTAAAAACAAAGAAAAATTTTAAAAAAAAATTTTTTTAAATTTTAAAAGTCTAGAACCAATTAAAAAGGGGGACCCTTCCCAGTTAATGTTATAGTACAAGAATTCAGTCTCCGTAAAAAACTCAAAAAATAAAAAACCAGGGCCATTTAAAATTTTAATTCCCAAAGAGTCATGGCTTTTGGTTTTTTTAAACCCTACATTCTTCGCTTTTTAACCAACTAAAATTTTCACTTTTTCAGTGTTGATACCTGTTTAAAGTTTCACTTTTGTTTTCCCAAAAGTAAATTTTAAAAATAACGTATAAAAGATTAAATTACTGGGGATCTCAAAACGAAATTCTATTTTGCTTTTTTTGTAACACTCCGTGAGTTTTTTAAAAATATAAAATTGTGGGAAAAAATTTTCAAAATTATCAATTTTTAAACAAAAATAGGGAAAATTTTCAAAGATCACGCCCAAAAAGGGCTTGCTTTTGCATTTTAAAGAAAAATTTTTTAAAAGATCGGGACATGACAGGGTTTTTTTTATTCTCGAGTATTTGTAGTTTTTTTCCCCACAAAACAGGGCCGGAAAAAAATTCCAATTATTTTCAAAATTATAGGGAGGTTCAAAAAATTTTCTTTAAATGTAAAAAAGAATGTAAAATGTCTGCTGTAGAAGGGACGGGCCGAGGACCCCTTTTAACAAATTGACTTATCCGTTAACCCCTTTAACAAATGACCCAAGGGGGTGGGGGTCTTAAAAAAAGGGGAAAAGGAAAAACTTTTTTGGGGAACCCAATTTTCCAGTGCTCAAAAATTAATATACCCCATGTCAAAAAAAAGAAAAAAAAATTTTTGCATTCAACACTAAACTTTCTTTTTTTCAAATGGCCCCTTTTAAATAAAGGGTTTTAAACAAAATTGATATTTTTATTATTAGCAATATAAAAAACGTCTTGCAAATTTAATACATTATAAAATCCCAATTTTTTGGCTCTTGCCCAAAAAACAAAATTTTCAAGTAAAAATTGTTTTTTAAAAAAGTCAAGTATCATATTATGCTATCTTCTTTAAACTGTTTAAAACCCATTTTTAAAATCCCCTTTAGTCTTTTGTCCGGGAAGGGTTGGCAATTTTCAAAAAAAATTTTTTAACCCAAAAATTTTACCGATAAAATTTTCCGATTGAACTTTTTTAAAAACAGAGTCAAGCAAGGGGTAAATTGCTGCAACGTTTAGTTCTGCGGGTGTTTTTAAATAGTTTCGGGGGGGAAAGGGGGGCCGAGGGTTTGGACCCGACGGTTCTTCGGATTTTAAAAACGAGATTTTGGGAATTTTGGGAAACGGGCTGTGCCCAGTGATACACTAAAATTTGGGGGGGTTAGAAATAAAATTTTCGACAGCTATGCGCTATGTAGTTTGTACGGCTTCACTTACGGTTTTGATTTTTTGATTACCCTCTTAAAGCCGAATAAAGTACTTCTAAGTTTGTAACTCTATTTCTATTTTTTAATAATTTTCCGGAAAAAACCCCCCCAATAATTAGCTGAAAAACTGACTGTAAGTAGCCCTTATTTTGCTCTCAAAGTTATTGTTGAATTGGTAATGCTGCGGAGAAGTGTACCTGAACTTTTCTTGAGCTGCCGAAAACCGTGCCTGGAAAAATTTAATTTTAATAATTTTTACTTAAAATTTTATGGGATCATTATTAATTCTGATTATATTTAATGCCCTTAAATTTATTTATTATTTTGACATTTTTGGCAGGGGCTTTTTTTTCCCAAAATTTAGCTAATTTTTTGGCAGTGTGTTAAAGCAAAAACAAATTGATTTTTTAAAGTCCCCTGACGTTGCCCAAAATTTATCGGGAATTTAGTCATTGTCGGCCCCGGGCCACAGAGAAAAGCAGGAAACCTAAAACCAGTGGGCCCCAATAAAGAGCAGCTCCAGAAACACATGTAAATAAAACAAACTCCCCAACTTTTTGGCCCAAAAACTAAAAAATAAAAAGTAAACACTTAGAAATCGGGGACAAAAATTTACAAATCAAAAAGGGTTTAAAAATTTTTAAAAAATAGGAGAAATTTACTTACAAAGTAAAAACCCGAAATGTCGAGGAGTTATGAAAGTACCGGAAGTTTAAAAGGTAAAAAGGGCTGGTCGGCACGGCAAAAAAACGGTCTTGGCGTAAAACCCGGTGGAGCCCTTTTTTTTCCTTTTTTAAAATTTGAAGGTTCCAAAGGGTTGGGGGAACCACTCCACTGAAATGGAAAAATTTTGCATGACTTTTTTTATTTCTTACCGGATCCAAACTTTAAAACCCCGATTTAAATTTTGTGATTTTTCCCAAAAAAATTTTACGCCCTTCCCCAAATTGGAATCCAAAAAAAATTTGGCACTTATTTTTTTACCTTACTGAAATTTTCGTTCTCGCAGTGCACGGGTTTTAAATTAACCCACTTTACTGATTAAATTTCTCGTGAAATGGGGGGAAATTCCCAAGCCCTCTGAAATGGATTTTTAACCCAAGATTTATATTGAGAGATTTAACCCACTTGTCGAGAGGGAAATTTTTTTGTGCTGTACTTATGGGTTATTTTTTTAGTAAGCCCCAACCCTTGTGACACTACCAAAAAATTTAAAAACTTTTGAAAAAAACCCGTTTAATACGTTTGGGGTAGGTTTCGTATCATGGGAACCGGTTAAATAGAAAGGGAAACCGTTCACAAAACCGGGTCAGGGGGAATGAAAAAAAAAACAACCTCGGTTTCCCATGTTAAGCAAGGGCTGGGGCTGGTTAGGGGGAATTGTTCCAGTTGTGGATCCGTGTTTTTTTCCCAAATCAAAAAGTAATTTTCGAACACTCATCCCCACCTTTTATTGCTTCGTCCGCAAAAACTGAAGGGGCCATGGTAGATTGGTTTTGGGAAAATATTCCCAAAATTTTTTTCAAAGAAAAAGGTAGCGTAAAATGATAAAAAGACAACTTGATCCCAATTTCTTTTTTAAGCTTTATGTTAAATTTTATTTTAAAACCCCAGTTTTTTTCAAAAACCCTGCCCATCCATTCAAGAACTGACTTTTGTAATTTCTTAAATTAACAAAAGAAAACCCCTAACCATCAAAGCTTACTTTCTCTTCGGCGGTTAACAAAAAATTTGAAGGGTAGCATTACCGACAAATTTGATCCGTTTTTCCCCGAACTAAAAAAACAAAACATGCATTGTTTAAAACCAGGGCAGGGTTTTTTACAAAGTATTTAAAGATGAAACTACATTTTTCCGGGCCCGAATTTTTGTGGGTAAAAAGTTTTTTTCGGGGACAAAATCTTCGATTTGAACAGGTTTTTTAAAACCTCGTCTTTTTTTATTTAAAAAGTGGAAACGTTAGACTGGCTTAAAAATGCACATTATTGAAAATTTAAAGGGGAACCCTTTACATTTAAAAACAAGGATGCCCAACCGCTAAATTTAGGGAAAAAATTTTCAAACTTAACATGTATCACAATTTTTTAAAAACTCCGGGAAGTGGGGTTTTTTTTATCGGGCGGATGATATGAGCGCGGGGACGAAACGCGCGCTTTGGTTATAGTGAGTCTTTCTCCCCCGGTTTTTTTTAACTTTTGTGTTCAAAAAAAACTAGTTAGGGTTCTTTGCGCTTTTCTTAAAAAATTGCCAGTTTTTCCTCGGGCCCCGGGGGGGCCCTCAAAAATTCATGATGGGTGAAAGGTTTGATTTAGGCCTTTTAAATTAAAAAGGGGTTTGGGGAAAAAATTTTCCAAAAAATGAAACCAGTAGGGCCTTTAAAAGATTTTAAAACCCTTTATTTTGGGTTTAAACGAAAATTTTTAAATTTAATTTCCCGTAGCACCTGGGCTTTAAATTTTCACCATCTTCAGTTCAAAATAAAACATTGGGCGCAAATTTTTTAAAAACATTAGAATTCCCGGGGGAATTAGAAAAATTTAAAATGATGTAAAAGTAAAACATGGTATTGAGAAGTGGAAAGTTTTTTTTCCCTACCGGATTTAATTAAAATTAATTTTGGTTTTTTTTTAAACAATTTTTCCGCGAATTCGAGCTTTTTTTTAAAAGGTAAAATAAAT